CAAACCAGCACATTTCAGATGGTAAATACCATCACACAGCCAGCATGATAAGTAGCGTTCAGAATAGCTTTTAATTTGGCAAGTATCAAGATCACACTTCATATTGAAAGATTTATGTAATACACTCGTTAATAAAAGACAAACAAAATAAATTATAACAATTAAGGAGCTGATGTAAATAGCTTTAAATAAATGTAGCGAACAGTTCGAGTATCACTGTAATTATGACACTTAATAAACGCAACGCAAACAGCTGTGACAAGAATTACTAGAAGATGTAAACAAAAAGAGTAGAACAAATGTGCAAAAACAAAATGAAAGTTAACTACAAAGGATACAACAACAATGATAGCAACAAATGACTCGGCAAAATTAGAATGTATGCTAGTGAAATTTAATTAAATTTACTTTAATATAAAACCAATAACTTTCACTTAGCTTCAATTATTTCACACTCTGATGCTCATAAGCACTTTTTATCACTACTTTAACACAGAATTAGCACAATGAACTTAGAAAGTAGAAAGCCACAATCAGAGCACAATAAAGTACAACCTCACAGCTTGACATTTGCTCCTTCAAATATTATTGATGCCATATGGCATCATACACATTTAAAGATATACCACGCGTTTATTATCACCTTTTTAAATTAAATTACAAGTTCTAGCAATATTTGACACTGTTTTGGAGACTATAGCATATTTATTTGTTTTTAATTTATTGGGTTATTTGGTAGAATATAGTATTTTAATGTAGACCTTTCTAAGCAGAGAAAATCGATATTTAGTAAAGTTTTAAAATTGAAATGTTTCATCTACTAAGTATAAAAATAACAATACCGTATTAAAATATAGTTTAAAAAACTTCCCAGTACAGCGTTGTATATAAAAATATAATTTCAGATAAGCTCAATTAAATCTGTGAGTATTCAAAAAAGCATGACGCCATATGGCATCAAAATAGCTAAAGGGTTAAAGGAAAATCGGTGCAAACGCCCTACTGGAGCATCAAAGGCTGAAGCGGTGCGACCCCAGCATTACCAACAATTTCACTACAAACCGAACAGAACCCCTACCCAAAGGGTTTTAACCCCCAAACCATTTGAGATACAAGACATAGGGACAAGCAGGGCTTATTGTAAAACAATACCCTCCTACCGACGGAAACTTTGCGCTCGCTTGGGAAGCTTTGAAATCACGTTCTACTAAGGAACGGAAGGAGGTACTTGTGTTCATCGAAACTACTACTACTCTGGGAGCAATCCCTGGGCCCTCGGGAAGAATTGCCACTATGGTCAGAGATGAACAAATTCCTCACTTGCAGGTACGAGGTGGTCGAACGGATCGGTACGTAACGACCAACTAAACCCAAATCACAATATACCCACTTAAACCCTAGAGCTGGCAATCTAGATTCCGCGAAACCAGTTTCATGCAAGTTGTTCAACTCCAATCACGCAATGAAACTTTGCGTTAGATTCAAGAATCCCTCCGTACCCGATCGTCTAAAATTTGTACGTGAGCACAAGTATTGTGTAAACTGCCTGTATTCTTCACACTTAAAAGGTCAACGTCAGAGCAAATTTTCCTGTGTATACTGCCACCAACAACATCACTCTTTACTCCATTTTCAAGCAAACTCGAAACCGAACTCAAAACCCTAATCATCGACAATGCAGGCAACAACCACAGTGGAAATAGCAGACGACATGCCCTCCACTTCAACAGGAATCGTTCACACCCAACCAACCCACAAGAAAGCAGTCAAAAAGTTTCCTCTGACTTCTCGTGCAGCAAAGGAACCACCCTATTACCCACAATGATGGTACCAATTTACTTCGCGGGAGAATATCACCAGATCCGAGCAATTATAGACCAAGGTTCACAGAAAACCTTTGTCACGTCTCGGATCCAAAAAAATATTAAATTTACCCATTAAAGAAACCCATTATGAAATATCAGGAATGGGAGGCGTAGTGGTCCAAAACTCGAAAAATATTTGCGAGTTAACCCTTTTCTCTGCGGACTTAAAGAAAAAAAATCACAACCAGGCAATTATTTTACTCCAGCTCACCCATTTTCTACCCAGTCTCAAGGTGTCATACGTAAACCTTCCAGAATTAGCGACTTTAACTTTAGCAGACCCTTATTGTTTTACTCAATCTCGAATCGATATGGTCATTGGGAGCGACGTTATACCACAAATTCTCACACAAGGACTATATTATGTTGCAGACGGCACACTCCTGGCGCAGAACACGATATTCGGATTAATAATTAGCGGACCAATAGCAGAAAAGGTGACGTCATTCACAACCCAAGTCATGGAACCCACGAACGATGCATTCAATACGCTATTGAAGAAATTCTGGAAGCAGGAGGAAGTTTACCTTGCCCAAACCCATTCAATGTAGCGACCAAGAAGATACGTTGTAAAACGTCCTTTCAAGCAAAAGTTTCCTACCACTACAGCACTTGGCCATTCTCGAGCGGCAGTACAACAGCAGCACTTAAGCGTAGAGAGTACGCTGCAACGAAAACCCGAACAGCGCGACAAATATAACGAAGTGCTAGAGTAGTACGTAACACTAAACCATATCACACCTTACTCAGCCACCGAAATAATTAGAGAAGGAAAGTATTTCTCGTTTTATCTCCCCCATCATGCTGTCTTAGAACCCGACAACAAGACCACCAAAGTTCGTGTTGTATTCAATGTCACTTTAAATGATGTGCTACACACAGGCCCCGTATTTACTTCAGAACGACTTAATGGTAGTAATATCTAATTGGCGACTCTATAAGTTTGTTTTTAACGGTGAGATTCAAAAAATGTACCGCAAAATACTCGTTGATGAAAAAGGTCAAGATTTTCAACGAATTCTATTTCGAAGAACCCCAAGCTCGCCGGTTCAAGATTTTAAACTCAAAACAGTCACCTTTGGAGCTAACTGCGCCCCTTATTTAGCAATTAGGACTCTCCATCAGTTAGCAGAAGACTATAAGGGCTCATTTCCGTTCACCCATAATTTTTTACTACGAGAAACCTACGTAGACGACATACTATGGGGAGCCACGAGCCATGTACAGTCCACTCTTAAATCGGTGTCACAAGTGATGGATGCTATTAAGTCAGCAGGATTTCGTTTACGGAAGATTACAGCAAATCACCCCAGCATACTTAAATCAATCCCCGATTCTGCTCTGTTAGACGTAGATTTCTTAAAGTTTCAAGACGCAAGTTCTACAAAAACCCTAGGAGTACAGTGGAACGCTCTGACTGACACCTTTTCCTACTCTTATGACCTCATTCCTGCTGAGAACTCAAAAAGTAAGGGACAAATTCTGTCAGCGGTAGCGAGACTGCTCGACGCGGCAGGATGGCTATCACCAATAATGATCATAGCGAAAATCCTCCTCCAACATCTCTGGATGGAAGCGACCGGGTGGAACGAGCGGTAAAATCAGGCTCTCTAACAAAATGGAACTCATTTCGAGAAAACCTCCCAACAATAGAGGACATAAAAATACCCAGGTGGGTGCAGTTTACGCCAAAGCAGTACATTGAACTGCACGGATTTTCGGACGCCTCCGAAAAAGCATTCTTTACCTGCATCTACATAAGAGTCCAACTCGGCGAAAACTGGTTCGCGTTCTCACTACTTGCCGCAAAAAGCAAGGCTGCACC